TCGGCAGACAGGCGGCGGCGTCCGGCCCCTCTCCGCCCCGCGCGCCGGCGCGGCGGCCGCCCTTTCAGCCGGCCCTCTTTCATCGCCGCGGCCCGGCCCATTAACTGGCCGCGACGCTATCGGCCGGCCGCGGGCCCGCCGGCGTCGACGACGGGGGAAGACGCGCCGACGGGGAGAGCAGGGGACCGCCGCACCTGTTCCCGCGCGCCGCAATCAATACGGCGGCGCCGCGACCGACGAGGCAGCGTCGGGACGCCGCGGCGCGTCTCATTACGCCGCGTCGGCGACGGCGGCAGCCGCGACCGCTCGCCAGCTTCCAATAACCGGTTTATGGAGGGCCGCGTTCGCGGGAGTTTACGGTTGTTTGCTCGGGGAGGCGATTTGGGCGGAGAGCGCGGTTGTTGCCGACAAACAGTTCTCACGGCTATTTAGAAGTTTGCCGCGTGCGAGGGTAGTGTTTGCCTTCGAATGAGAGCGAGCCCGTCATCTTGATGCATCGCTCCGACAGCGTTGGCAGCACCTTAATGGTGTTGCATCCAAAAATGAAGACCAGCGAATGCTTTCATCGAAGCATGATCGCTGGCGGTCGGTCGCAATCATATGTGTCGTTATGTCGTGTCGTCATATCTTGGATATATTTGATGTGGGCGACGAAGAGACGTCCCAGACATGGCTAGCTAACCCGGCGTGCTGGGAACGCTGTTCGCGAACTGCGCTTCATTAGCATAGAAACGGACGTAAGTGGCACAGAGGCAATGCCGGAAATTTCCATGATTTCTTTGGCTAATCGAAACACCCGATTTAAAATATGCAGACCCGGACTCATTCATCCGTTCAAGCATGTCTGTACGTGTCCACAGACACGTCCCTTCGAGTGCAGGAAAACTACCGGACGTGCGTGTGCCCAGCTGTCGTCTACATACCGGCGGCGCGCATGTAATGTGGAATTTGATATCTCCGTCCCTTGCGACTGCTGCCCGCATCACGGCTACTGGAAAGTCTGCATACATACTGGCGACGCGCATGTAATGTGGAATTTGAGGTCTCCATCCCTTGCGACTGCTGTCCTCATCACGGCTACTGGAAAACCTCCAACCTATATAGTCGGGGACACGGCACTAGACCTAAGAGTTTGCGCTGATTCTCACCAAATTTAGACGTTTAGTGAAGTGAATGAGCCGGTGGAGACTAGTCCTCATGGAGAGGGCTGGTGAGACATTTGCAACTTCCATTTGGAGCGTGTGCATCGCCAGATGACGCGGCTCCGGCTCTTTTGTGACGCCTCTGGGCATTTAAGTGAAGCCAAGGTTTTCAGCGCTATTAGTGCCAGACGATACATCCAATTAATTTTGCTGAGTAACATCTGGTGGCTTAGCTCTCCCCTCCTAATCTTTCGCTCTGATGCGCCCGGCTCAAATGCAGCGTAGAATTTCTGCATTAATGTTATCCGCAGGCCAGAACCTGGCGCACCCACCGTACCAGCTCTCCAGCCAATAGCTGATTTCGTTTAAATTCGGCCTCGATGGATGGAGTGTCAGGAAAACAAATCGTGCATTTATGCATGCCGCCGGACATGTTTGGGAAGATATGTATACAGCCGAACATGATTCAAAATATGTGTATAGTATTAACCACGCCAGTTCTTGGTCTCCAGGTTTAGTGAACGGATGACGTTCGAGCGGACGAAGCGTGCTCCTGCACCCCCGCTGACCAATTCCAGAGTGAAGCGTTCCTGGAACCAATCATGATCTGCAGAGTTCTTCATCTGGTCGGAGACATGTATCCGGACTTGGTGCTGAAATCAGCGTCGAATCTGCGCGCTTTCCTCGCAAATGAGTCCATGGCCGCCCGGCTCCATCCGGGTTTGTAATGCAACTCAATAAATCATAATAGCTGTTCCTTTCGTTCATGTCGCTATGAATGACTACGGAAAATTTGCGGGACCTGGACAGCAGCGGCTGTCGATGCGTTAAGTTGAGAATCAAGAGCCAGTTCCCGACCAATAACAACGTTGGAAAACTCTCTATTTCACGATCTCCGCTCCCATTCCATTGCTGCGTTGCTTGATCGCATCCCGTTTCCCATTCATGTTTGGCATCATGGACCTCTCGGGCGATGAGCTAAAACCGGGAATATGTGGCGCATGATCCATCTGGGTGGCCGAGAAAACGGATGCCGATTTCACAACGCCGAGGCACTAACCTCATTAACCAGAAGGTATCGCCACATCTGTGACGGTGGGCAGGGCGGCAGGCCCACTCTGGCATTTATCCGCGCAGTTTATGGGCTCGATAACGGCCAACGGCCGCTCCTCTGACCCCTTCATGACCGGACGGTGACCCGTCACGACCCCGGCGGCCTGCTCGCCTTGGAGGCGCTCTCCAAGATTCTCTTGTTTACCGTCGTGGGCGTGAAAGGTGAATAGCTAATGACTGGTGTTTGGAGCCCGCGGCGGGCCCCACGCGCCGGTCGGGTGGGGACGGTCCGCTAACCTGACAGGTGATGGGTGCTGCGGAGGCCTCAGCCGGGTGTCACAGGTGGCTGATGCTCCCAGATCGGTGGTACAGTCACAGGGGTGATGTTCGGGCCGAATGGCTTGCCTGACAGGCTGCGACGTCACCTTGTCCGCGGGTTATACGCCAGTCATGAAAGCAGTTTCAAAAAGCAGTGGTAGGATCTGTGAAGAACGCCTTGAATGCACAAGCCGGAGCTTTCCGGGTCAGTTAATTGTCAGCAATTTATGAAGATCATGACGTGATCTAAGCGTGCCGTGTAACAGTGCTTATTTCTATTTCTAGCCTTCAATTTTTAAAGGCTTACTATAATTCCTACAGCACCTGAAAGTGGAAGTAATCTGTGATCACTTACCGTTATCCGTTTAACAATTCTATAAAACTAATCGCCTTTTTACGCTCAGGATTTCACCATTGCTTGGCATGCTAAAAAGTTTCGCTTCTCGTTTCCAGGCATAAATCCGGTAGCGTGATTGTGGCGCTTTTCTGAGACTCAGTGACTCATAGGGCTCAATAGATTCCTTTCACCCTTCTATAGAGACGTGTCAAATGCGTTAATCAGATCAGGGTTTTTATCGGCTGCGAGGGGCGATGGCCGTGTTTTTCTGGGTAGGTGCCGCGCGGGTGTGCGAGGAAAACAGAGAACAAAATCGCAGCGGTGTGGCGCGTCCTGCTGTGGCTGCTTTCAGTAAGCTTCTCGTGAGCTTGATGGCGTCACTTTTCGAGCACGTTCAGCATGTTACCGTGCCGACAGATGGAATATGAGTCTCCGTGTTTGTGTAGTGCGTTTTCCTGGGGCGTACCACTGACACCATGAAGAGAAAATGAGGGAATATATCTGCGTTAAACGTGCTGCACATGTGTCGGTTGCTATAGTGCACCGATAGGACATTTTGATCGCAATACCGCCCTTCAGATAGTGAAGAAACGATCGAAGAAATTATATTACCAATAAATATCACACTGCACATTGAATCCCTACCGGGCTCTAGGCAATAGGTAAGAACCACCGTCTGCAAACAATGAGATCGCTCCTAACCATTACTCCGACGTTTAAAATGGTCAAGCCAAGCAAGAGACATCCAAGCATTTATAGGATCCCGCAACATGTAGTACATTCAGAGCTACAGGGCAATCAAAAGAGATGTCGCATACGAGACATACAAGAGAGTGCATACAGGACGCATGCGGATCCACTCGAGCCCGACAAGGTCACCCATCATCTTCACAACCAGGGGATATGGTGAAATGGGATAAGGCCATCCAGAGGACACACCTTTCGCCTATGCACTGTGCACTCATTCGATATGGTTCTAAGATATGTTATAGCGGTAAAGAGCAGAGCTACAAAATATCTTCAGGAAAGTGGAAGACATCGCTTAGCACAAAGGATCATTCACTTCAACATCGCAGTCCGATGATAAAACCAGCATTCTTCGCTTCAAAGCATCACTCAGAAGCCCTTCACAGTTCCTCCGCTGAATGTTCGAAGTCGGCACTTCTGCGCTGCAGGATGGCTCTGATCTCCTTGAAGGAGGGCCGCTCGTGCGGCCGGAGCCGCCAGCACTGCATCATCAGCTGGTAGAGGTCGGCAGGACAGGCGTTGGGCTGCTGCAGGTGTGGCTCCGGGGCCGGCTCGCGGCAGCCGGCCAGCCGGTCCGTGACGGCCGCGTCCGTCATGTGCGCCAGCGGCTGCAGCCGACACCAGGTCAGCACCTCCCACAGCGTCACCGAGAACGACCACACGCCCGAATGGGCACTCATCTCTTCATGGGGCAATGCTCCCCAGATCAACCACACCAGAACTCACCGTGAACAGGGCCTCGGGAGCCCGCCACCGCAGCGGGATGACCCGGCCATCCGGCAGGGTCACGTAGTCGCTGGCGTACTGCTCTCGGCTGGGCCCCAGGTCACCGACCTTGACCTTGAGCCGGTGACCCACCAGACAGTTGCGAGCGGCCAGGTCACGGTGGACGATTGCGAGGGACTCGAGGTGTTCCATGCCAGCCGCGATCTGCTCCGAAATGTAGACCAGAGAGCCCAGGCTGTAATAGTAGTAGTATCGTCACATGCAAGCAGGTCGGACAAAGCAGGTAACAACAGGATGCACGGAGGCAGCGCCAGCTGCGACGAAAAAGAAATTGCAGAGCAGGGCAGGGCACCATAAATAGAAGGCACAACTTACGGGACTACGGAGCACGTAAGCCCCATATTCACCTGAACTTCCTTGAGCGTACTAACTAAAATCTCTCTTTAATCTCAACACGGAGAGTTATTCTTTCCAGGACGGCGCCGGTAAGTGCACACAGTTCAGACGCATCCTCCCCATCACTGGACGCCCGGCCGGGACTGCTCACTCGAGTGGTCCGTCTACCCGGGTCGGGTCGTGCGGCGCTCTCCGCAGGAACTCGTTGAGGTCGCCGTTCTCCAGGTACTCGACCAGCAGGCCGGGCGCCTGCTCCAGCGTGCAGAGGCCCAGCAGCCGGGTCACGTGTGGGTCGGTGACCCGACAGAGGGGCTCGGCCTCGCGGCGGAGCCGGCCGGCGGCCTCGGCCGGGGCGCCCGGCCGCAGACTGCGGGCCGTGGCCAGCCGGGAGGGCGCCTGGTACGGACTGTCGGCCGACGAGCGTTGGTGCACCTCGCACACGCGGATCTGCGGCACACACACGCTCGCTTGCTGGTGTCGTCCGCGAGGCCAAAGGTGCAGGGATACGATTGTCTGACAATGTGCTTCAACAGACACGAATGTTGTTTTCAAAGTTTAGCACCACGAATGTCCTCTCACTGTAAACGTTGTAAGTCTCATACACATTCATTACAATGCCCATTACTTTTTTGGACCTGTTTTAAATAAACGCTATTCGCCCCTCTGCTCACGTATTCCTCTCAGCCCTCCTCTTCCCATGAAATCCCTCTCTAGCCCTGTCCCTCACTTCTCCACAGCGACCGTGACCGGTCTCGTGCCTCACCTCTCCATACCGTCCCTGTCCGATCCTGTCTCTCAGCTGGATGAGCTCGTCGCTGATCTCGGTGACGGCAGCACGACCGGCCGGCGGCCCGGCGCCGCTGCTGTCCCAGACACACGTGCCCGTCACGCCCTGCACGCCGTCAGCCAGCAACCGGCGGCGCCGCCCGAAGCTGGCACAAGTCGGCTGCAACGGCGGCGGCGGCAGCGGCGGGGGCGACGGCAGTAGCTCACTGATGCTGCATACGGACGGCTGGCTGCTGGACTGGGCGCCGCTGTGCGGCGACTGCCGGTAGTTGGGGTTGTCCCAGGAGCGGGACGTGCCGCCCAGCCCCACCGCCGGCCCGTCCGAGCACGACGGCGGGCTCGTGTCCACCGGCACGGCGTAGTCGTACATGGCGTCTGCTGGCCGGCCGTGCTGCCGCTGCGCCAGCGTGTTGTACTCGGAGTTGAGCCGCACCACGCGGTGGTGCTCGGCGGCCAGGTCGATCTTGTCCTCGTCGCCGGCCAGCGGGCCGTAGAGGTCGGCCGGCGGCCGGGCATGGCCGTGCCGCGGCGTCAGCTGCACGCTCCTCCTGAGCTCCTTCATGTTGCGCGCCAGCGGCAGCTGCAGTGGGCTCGGCCCCGAGCCGCCGGCAATGCGCCGCCGCCGGCCGGCCCGCACCACATAGCCGACCAGCGCCGAGAGCAGCAGCAGCACCAGGCCCAGCACGCCCAGCAGCACGGCCAGCGACGCCGCCGACTCTGACTCCCCGGACTCCTCCAACACCGGCTCCGACTCCGACTCTGACTCGGAAGGCTCCGGCAGCTGGGCCGGGCCGTCGGATCGGGACAGCACGAGGTCCGTCACGTTGTGCGCCGATGGAGCTGCGGGGGGAGGACAGAGCGTTAGAGCTGCACTCGAGGGCTGCGTTTGAAAGATGCACTCAAGGCCATTATAAATACATCGAAGTACACTGGCTTCCGGGACGCCAACTGACGTCAAGTGAGAAGATAATGAACATATTAAAATAAACTGTTGCATACGACACAACGGCGTCCTGGTATAGTATTCCCCCCGGACCGGGTGTTATCGACTGTGAACTCCACTCACGTTCGTGTCGAGCACACTCACCACTGTCGAATGATATCTCTGAGATGAGGAGCCACTGGTCGGCGGCAGTCAGCTCGAGCCGCACATAGCGGCCCACCTGGCGGTACAGCCGCACCTCCAGGCGGCGCGCGTCCTCGAAGATGCGGTCAGCCGGCGGCTCCAGGGTCAACGCGGAGCTGGTGTACGCGTTGCCGTCCACCGAGAAGTACAGGCTGGCCCGACTGAACATCTGACGGCGGCGCCAGCTGGTGTTGATGGCCTCGCTATTGATATCACTGGTCATCAGGTGTGCTGTCAAGACCTTGTTGACAGCACTGTCCTTGTTTATGACTCCACCAGATAGGACGGACGAGCAATCAGTCATTTGAATGCGTTGAAACTTAGTGCAATGGTGATGTAATTACCCTTGCAACAATATCATCGCCAGAATGAGCAAGTAAAGGAGATCAGCAACGCTCAAGCAGCCGCGCTTCGTGTCGGAGTATTTGTTGAGACAGGTAAAAACACTTTACAATACGCCAGCATACCTTCACCCCGCTGGTGAAGTGATTGCTGACGTGGAACGCAGCAGACTCCAGCTCTCTGACGCCATCAAACTCGAACGTGATGGTGACCAGCTCCCCGGGCCGCCTCTGCCAGCCGACCCCACTCAGGCTCTGCGAGATGATAACCGGCTCAGTCACCTCCCGAGGCCGGCGGCGGTTGCCGGCCCCGCGTCGCGACCCACCCTACCGCAAGACACCCAGACGGGGCCGCACACGTTACCCATGCTCCCGCACCGCCGGCACGAACGTGATCCTGTCCGAACCACGAGGCCGCTCGGCGACCAGACACGCCCTGTAAACCCGTCTCGGCACGGGTTTTTTTTCGCGCGCCGGCTGGAGCGCGCACTATTGGCCAGTCGGTCCACCGCGACTGTGCCCCGCAGCGCGGACTGCACCAGCTGGACCGCCCGGATCCCGCTCAGGCAGGACAGAGACCGCCGGCCTCGATAACATCTCGGCGACGGAGCCACGCCGAGTCACGCCGCCGCGCCCGCAGGCCGCCGCGGTCGCACGACCGAGCCGCCCGGCCGTCCGGACTGAGCGAGCTCACGTGTCGGCGCCGGCGAGCACGGCATTGGCAGCTGACTGCGATCCCGGACTGAATGGCGGACAGGGACCGCTCGCTGAAGCAGCTTATCCTCACTCTGTCTGACGCGATGACAGCGATAATGTCGCGGCTCAGGCAGCGATGCGTCATCGCAGCTCATGATGAGTGGCGGACAAATGGCCGGCTGTGAGATTGTGAATGGAGACAGTTTCTTTTGCGCGTGAGAACAATGAGGCAAAATAAAGGAGTTCGTCTGAAAATATAAAGGAAAGAACATCGATAACGCAAGATAAAAGGACTTAGCTTGGGAAGACATGTGTAAAAAACGTCCCCCCCCCAAATTTGTTTTGATGTCGCTTGCTAACTTGGAATCTATGGAAACGGGACTTCCGAATATTGCTATGAATTTCGCTTAGTTCTATAACCGCCACAGAAAACATAGTGGTGTGGGTCCTGTTCATGTTCTGTTACATCTATCACTAGCACACAGCGATGTGTGCTGGGTACGAGTAATCATCTGGCTGGTGCTTCCGCGACGCTTGAGAAGAAACCACATCATCCATCAGCGATCGTCCGCTCGAGAACAATGCTTGGGAGGCGGACGTACGAAATGGACGGGGCCTCGGTAGACACACCACCAACCACTCTTGCAGGTAACACGACACAAGGTGAGCACGTACTTGTGATGTCGTTGTCCGCCAGGCGCCCGTCCGTCAGCTGACCCAGGCCGCCTCCATGACCTCGGCCGACGCCGCACCGTCATAGGTCAGGTCAGGTCGAACTGGATCAGGCCGGTCCATGCTGTAGCTCTGAATGCCGTCTGAAAGTTACGACCAACATTTCACTTCATCATCAGTAATATTTCTCTCTAATGGCGGGGTATTTGGCAGCATGATTGCTGTTCTCAGCGCTCTGATCCCTGGCGTATTCCTTACCCTGTCAAAGAGCTATTGTGCGCCGCGCGACCCTATCATTGCGTCACACGTAGATCGAGTTGCCGATTTACGTGCGGTCACGGTCGGCTGGCGCGCCTGCCGGTGCCGGTGGACCGGGGAATGCGAGGGCCGATCAAGCACTCTCAGCACCCCCTCCTCCTGCCGGTGCCGGTGGCCGGGGAGTGCGAGGGCCGATCGAGCCCGTTCAGTGCCCCCCCCCCCCCCCCCTGCCGGCGACGGTGGACGGGGAGTGCGAGGGCCGATCGAGCCCGCTCAGCATCCCCCCTCCCCCTCCTGCCGGCGACGGTGGACCGGGGAGTGCGAGGGCCGATCGAGCCCGCTCAGCATCCCCCCCCCCCCTCCTGCCGGCGCCGGTGGACCAGAGAAGGCGAGGGCCGATCGAGCCCGCTCAGCCTCCCCCTTACCCCGCCCCCCGCGCCAGGGTATGCTGTATGACGCCCGCTCTGCCGCAGTGTCCGACGGCTCGACAAGACGGCGCCCCGTCTGCACTTTATGCACACGGAAGCATCTAAAGATGGTGCCAAGCCAAACATG